CATACGTGTGAGTTCTTCAGTCCAGTCACCGGCCAGCGAGCATCTTGGAGTTCTTGTAGGCAGCATCATGCAGTTGCTGCTCATGACTGGGATATTGCGACTGGACGAAGCGATCGCAGTGTTTCACCAAATGCTTGCCACAGTCATAGACCTTACCGCAGTGAAGGAGCTCACGCTCCGTGACAAAAAGTGGGAGCCCTGCAGGTCTCCTCCCAAGCAAAGCACTCAGCTGCCCGGGAAAAACCTGCTGGGACTCATGCTGGGGAGTTACTAGGAGCAAGAAGCTACGAACGTAACAAAGGGCATCGCTACGAACGGAGCAAGAAGCTATAGTATTATTCTAGTCTGTCAGATTTGTGAAACAACAATTTGGAGAGGTATCTCGGACGTGACTGAACCATCCTTTTTTCGCCCAGGCTCTAGCTGCCCCATGGCTTTGAAGGCTGCCTCCATTTCAGGCACCTCCTTTTCGCAAGCCAAGCACCCTGAAAGCCCGTAGAATGTGCCAACCAGTGTCCAACAGTCACTTTAGTGTCAAGAGAGCTGAGATCCTGCGATTACCCAGTTACCAACCCAATTCATCACCAAGCTGTTTGTTCACAGAAACACTGATGGGCACAGCGTGTGTACGACAGCGACAGCAACAGCAACACAGGTCTCCTTGGGCCAAATGTTCCGCGTCGCCGCGTAGGGGTACCTAACCGGTCCCAAACTGTGGCAAAAGCTTTCTGTTAGAAGCTTTGACATGCCTGTGCATCGGCATATCCTGTCTGCCTATTGGATACTACTGGCACTCTGCTTTCAAGTGTTTCTCAAACAAAGTATAGATATCCAAGTTGCAAGCTATAGCCAATTTGGCAAAATTTGTGATGCCAAGCAAGTCTCAAGTTTTCTACTAGCACAACAGATTTGCAACCACATGCAGCGCACAGAAATAATAACACTACATAACACTGCAGCCCAGCCGAGGCGCTTTTCTCGGACCGCTTCATCCCCTTCCGCTGGATCATCCCAGACGGGGTTCGCGTAGAAGCTGCCTTTGGCCATGTCGGGCTTCCCCTTGAACTTCTCCTTGGAAGAACTTCCACGGTCGTCAAGTCATGGGATCCGGATGAGGGTCGAGGGTCTGCTTTCGCTCGAATGCTTGCTGCCCAAGGTGGACGATGGATTCATGCTTGATCTGATCAAACCCCCCGGGAAATCCAGCATGGTTTTACATCTCTCTGCCCCTGGGAGCTTTGAACAGCAGACTGGGAGTCCAAGACGCATGACTTTACGTCTGACTCGGTGAACCCAATGTCAAGGAACGTCCTGAACACTTCAGTGACCCAAATACAGTAATTAGTCTTTGGATGTCTTTGGGCTTAGAGGTCGACCTTGTGTTTTGAGCAAGCTCTTGACTTGAGACCACTGTGTCGATATATCTATGGGGTCAGTTGGTCTCAACCAACCAACCTCCTCGCCATTTCACCCCCTCCGTCTCGGGTCTTTTTTCAACCAACGCACCCCAACAAATCAGCCAACATCCGTCTTTCACCTGGGGGCAAAGTGGATTTCGTGCATTTTAGTCGGTAATGCACGAAACAGATCTGAAGAGATTTCACCCTCCCCAGTGCATCTCTTTTCCCGTGGTCCGGTCGCCGGTTCGAAACGGAGCCTGTTTGGACGGGAGCGTGGGGGATCGCTCCGGGTGGGGTCTCGGCCCAAGGGGCTCGGCCGTGGCTCCAGCCCACGCAGTAATGTGCATCGGCTCGCTCATAGCTCTCAAGCACGTCTTTGGGCCTTGGGGGAGATCTCGCTTCGGCCCGAAAATGGGGATCCAACATGGGAGAAGTCCGGCGAGCCCTTTTGAGGGGATGGACGAAGCAGTTCCCTGGCGGGTTCCCAGTGGGTAGTCCATAATGAACTCGTACTCCCTTCACCTTTGCTCTTGAATTTGGTGCCACGTTTCCCACTCACGTTTCCCACTCCCATCACGGCCCATGGAATCTGTGTCCAAGCTTTCCAGCCTCCCCGTGTCTCAACGCCCCCAACAAACACCCCAAAACGCCCCCCCCAACGGGCCCGGACATCAAGGCGAAGCGGCGGCACCACCGAAACCGCCACCGATTTTCGGGGGTCGACCGAGTCGACCGACGTCGACACCGTTGACGTCGTTCCCCCACGAGAACCCCCACGCTGTTGAAGAACCGAGCTGTACGTGACATCGGGTGCTCGGGGTCCGCTACAAGGGTTGGATGTCGACATCAAAAACACGAGAGCCTCCTGGAGTGGGTTAATTAAGCAGAAAACATCCCTGTCCATGAAAGAGATTGAAAGAGCAATTCCCCGTGCCCACCAAGCTGCAAGTGAGCCAGCTTGTGTGCTAAAGGTAGGAGCCTGCAGCCAACCACTGCTCTTGTAGGTCAGGCGATTCCTATGTCATGTTATCACCTTCACCCCCCGCACTGTCCCTGGACAGCCTGGACGATACGATAGGTGAGAAGCTTGCCAATCAAGAGCGGGTTTTTGACACCTCGTCTCACATGTCGTTCACTCGTCTCACATCAAAAAATGATGCCAAACCATTCTCGACCAGGCTCCACGACTAAAGACATTTTAAGAAGAAACGCGCCGTCTCTTGGGTCACAGCGGACGGGATATCAAAGAAACGTCTTCTTTGGCGCTATAGCACTCATAGCAGTTCAAATCGCTTTCCTCCCCAAACACACTTGGACGCGCCGCCCCCGTCCACGCCACGCGGCCTCTTCCGGCAGTCTTCGAGGCCCGGAACGCCGCGAAGGGCGCAAATCCCCGAGCCACCAGGGCCATAGGCCTGGCGGGTGAGTGAACGCTCGGTTCGCGGTCGGTGAGCTCGCGAAGGAAGCGCTGGAGGATGGAAAAGAGGTGTCATTTTGGATGGAAAGAGATGGGGGGGGGGGGGCACCCCCTGTGCATTGTCCACTTCATGCGATGGCCGGGATTTCGGGTCCCATCGGGTCAGGATGTCGGCCTTGGGATTGGACGGGTCTCCTTCTGATCCTGGTGGGGTCCATGATCCGGTCAAAAAGAGGCTGTTTTGAACACATCCACTTGCTGGGCTCTCCGTCCCAGGGTGACGCGAGCGCTTTCTGTGAATCCCGGCGGTATCGGTAGAGATAAGGTGTGAATGATGTACAAAACCATACAAGCTATCATTGGGCAGAATGGAGTCACATTTGAAAGTCATATTCCAAAGAAGAGAGTGTGAGTGTACCATAGTGTACCTCATCGATCTCGGTGACTCGATCGAAAGGTGACTCAATCTCTGTAAACCGCCGAGTTCGGCGATCAAATCTCGGCCTTGGCAATCTCGGCTTTCAAATCCTTCCCTTCCACCACGTCCTTGTAGTCCAAGATGACCTCAGTTGAACCATGTTGAACCAACCATAGGGGCTCGAAGTCCTTCGACGACCGATGGTCCGTTCTTTCACCGAGGTCGGTTCTAATCCGATTCTCGGGCGCAACAAACATGTCGAGTTCGGCCGACAGGTCACGAAAGCAGGACATCCGAGGATGGAGGTTCTTCATTGGTCTCAAATGACGAGTAGCGTGGTTTCAGAGTAGATGTGCCATCATGTGCCATCTCCCCACTGGCACCCCAAGAGGTTCTTGAAAAGGATCGGGGGCCCGGTCCCTTTTTCAACCACCCCAACTGGAGGAGGGCTCGAACATGCCATCGGGGTGTCCGGTGTCCTGTCATAGTAGCTGCATGTGAGGGGTCCCTGCTCTCCAAGCTCCACAAGGGGCTCCAAACGTTTTGGGATGACGACGTGCGTCGCTCTTTTCAGCTCCAGTCGAGATGAGAAGCCAAGCCATGGCCCCACCCTCCGCAACTTCCAATGACATGGCTTGTACCTGGACTTCGAAAAGGACAACCCCCCGGGCAGTGGAACATGAACGCGTGATATTGTGTGATCCTTTGGTGAGTCGTGTCCCTTAAAGAATCTTTGTTAGCTACCTCTTAGCCCTCCATCCTTGCCAAATCTCCGGCTTCTCCCACTCTCTTTCTCCACCTCTTCCAAGCAACCACCTCACTGGACGCGCTTGTGCCATTGGAGGCCATGGCGTTGTCACCGGAAGCACCAGAAGCGTCGCGCGCAGCTTCACCCGTGTTCCGAGCAGCCACAGAGACCCCCCGCTGTTTCGGCTGGCGACGAAGGTCGAGACGCATACAGCACGACGAAGCTGGGCGGAGGCGAGCGAATGCGGGTGTCGTGCATCTCCAAGCTGCTAAGCTCGGGATCTCGACCGGGAGGGAAAACTGGATTGAAATGGTTCTCCTTGATGATGTTTGATGTGCCTTCCCAAACCCAGCTCAGTGAGATAAGCGAGTCTCCAGGACTTAAGATGCAACGAATCGTTGTTTCAATCAGATACATTACATTCGTGTAACTGCTTTTGGGAGAAAGGGTGAACATTGGCCATGCCTGAAATGGGAGACCGTACACCCCCCGACACACCGGGAGTGTAAGGCACCCGGGACGTCCGACGGTGCAGTCACCAGTGACTACACCAGGGTCCAGTTGGTCCTCAGGGTCCATGCGGGGTGAGAAAACCATAGTGGAACACTGATCAGCCACGTATAACCAAACAGGAAAAAAGAACTCTCTGCATGATTCCGGCTTGGCTGTCCTGAGGGATGAAGGAAGCCTTCTGGAACCCGACATCACCTACACAAAGTCTTCCTGGAATATGGGAGAATTGGAGACCGTCCAGAAAAATGGCAAATTGGTACACATGTTATATAGATTCCATGGTCTATATCTACTTCACAACGGTCATACACTAATAAAAACTAAATATGGTTACAGACGGCCAACACTTGGTGCACAACCAACTAAAAGAACATCAAAAAAAGGGCGAGTGTGAAATCGCTTTAACAGGTGTTGCTGGTTCTCGTTCGTATCATTTGTCAGCTCCAGCTACATGTTCAGATTCCACCTGCGGTCCCCTTTCTTGGGGGGCCCCTCCGCTTGCACCTTCTCACAGTGCTCCTCTGCTACGTCCGGCGTGGCTACTTCACTTTGCACCTCATTGCAAAAGCGTCGCTTCTGGGCAGCCCGGTACAAACCGATGCGTCGGGCCGAATGGTCCTTCCTGCAACACGGGAACCACTTCTCCTCCCCACGTGCGAAGGGTGCATCCAGCGGTAGCATGCCACCACTTCCTCCACGTGGTCCAAGTGTTGTTGCGGAACATGTAAATCATGTAATTCGCTGTCACTTGCTATGGCCTGGATCTACCGAATCTAAATACAGTACTATAGTCACAGGTTACTTTGAACATGCCTTGTTGAATGGTTGCGGAGTTGACGGACATGTCTGTTCATAGCTTTCCACGCATTCAGTTTCCTGGCTGGTTTGGAGGGAGCTGGAAAAAGCTGGTCACACACATGGAGCGGGGAGCTGGCTGAGGCGTTCAACAAAGCCAAACATCCCGCCACCGAACCAATGTCAAACCTTGAACCTCCCCAGTTGTAAAACATCTAATCGGTCTTATTCTATTCTCCCTAGCACTGCGCGACTTTAGAAGACCTCGCGTCGCAAGTGCCTTTTTGATCTGTGTTGGGTCACAGCGAGACTCTAAGCAAACCGATCTTGCTCGTGCAGCGCGCCACAAGCCTGCTCCTCGCAGAAGACGGCTGCGCCGCAGCGGCGGATTCTTAAAACGACGTATTCAAACGATGGCAGTGGCACTGCGGATGGTCACGTTGGGCGGGTCTGAGCCCCTAGGCCCTAGCCAGTCGGCGTGGATCCCGAAAGAACTTGGAGAACAAAGTCTTGACACGGCCACGGCCTGATGACAATCATCTGAGATCAACATGTGTGCCTTTCTCCACCCATGTCACTCTGCCTGACATGACCCAGAGCTGAAGATATAAAGGTTCCAGGACAAAACACCCATGCTAAAGCCAGGGAGCAAACAAAAGTATATGCAAAAACAGAAAGCCTTCCACGGGGTTTCCAGAACACTCAGCTCTTTGATCCTCGCTTCGCTTCCTTCACTGATTCACTCACCAATCACCAAGCTCGCCCGCTTCTCGCTTCCGGCACTTTCTGAGAAGGTGTTGAAGCACTGGACACACACGTCGTAGGACTGCGCCTGAAACGGTCCGCACATGGTGGAATTCGGCCACACCTTTAAAAAATCGCTTGGTGTGGAACATAGGGAGACCTCCCAGGCGTTGCGACCCCGTGGAAGAAAGGAAATAGACAAAAAAAACCATTGGTTGGGGGTCTCCGAATATTAAAACACACACTCGAATAGGAGCACCCGCCAGGAGCATTGGGGCAAAAGCGCGAGTGCAGGTCAGTGTCCACCACTGACATCTTTGACCAGCTTCCCACACCTCTTTGTCTGCGGAAATCCTTTAAAATAAGCACTCCTCTCATACAATGAGCATGTGTTAAGTGACTAGGGGCTTGCGGAAAAGGCACCAGGCCGCATGGAAACGTGGCATCCAAACGATTTTTTAAACACGACCAAACGACTTCACACAAGTACAAGTACCAGGGCTCTTAGAGGTTATATCAGAGGGGCGTCCATTAACCACCCCGACCGTGGGTCCTGGTACATGGTCAAATCTGCTGGGTTACCGTTGGACCTGCGAACCCGCCCTGGTCGGAGCGGATTCCGCCTCCCTGAGTCCAAGCTGTCTTCCCCCCCTGAGTCATGGACGTGGAGGATGGTGTTGGCACCATTCTGACCTGGACAGTGCCGGTGGCTGGCTGCATTCTGCTGCATTTATTTTTTTGGGGCGGCGGTGCCTGACCCTCTCAATTCTTGACAATCCACGGTTGCCATGCATTGTACCTGTCCACTCTTGGTGCCGCCTCCCTATCACCTAAAAAACAGTGAACCACCGACATTGTGAGGACAAACGTTGTTGAACTGTTGAGCCTAGGGATCGCCTGTGGTCGCTAAGAATCACAACGATTCCGCGGGGCGGCATCTTTAAATCGTTGATGAAACATTCTCGGATAGAGGGTGGGTACTTGGGAATGGGAAGGTTAATATGATGTATGATACAGTATGTTACAATAATGTGCAAAAAATATATAGACAAATACATAATGATTATACAATGCTTCATGATGTTTCATGTTTGTTCCAAAACGCGAACTTGCTAGTTTCGGCAACCCAAAAGCCCACCCACATTCAATACGTGGTCAGCGGACGAAGCAGTCTTCACACACCTACAACATCCGACTATCCTTTTCATCACGCCAAGTGACAAGTCCATAGTTTCTCCTGCGAAATTCACACGATGCCAAGACAAACCACTAGCCCAGCATTCAAAAAGACTATACACAGCAGCCGTAACAATAAAGAAAACGATCGTCGATAAAACACCTCTTTTCTGATTGCCATCTTATAAGGTTGGATAGAACCCTGGTTTCACAATGTTCCAGTGATGATTCGGCTCAATTGTTCAAGAGGCTGGAGGTGTGTGACAGGTTGCAGTGACGGTGTTGAATGTCCGGGATCTGGGGTCGGTCAAAATAAGTCTGAGACGGAACTTTGAGCCATGTGCTTGCGATGACTTCGGGTAGCGAAAATACCGTGTAAAAAGAGACGTCTCAATAATTCATCATAGTGCCAAAATTTTGTTCAACTAAATGCAGTACCACATGCAACCCTCAAAGGGCTCCTCTTGGATGTGTTGATGGCACAGGTCGCAGGTCACAGCTTGCCTGGGCCGAAAACGCGAACTGCTTTGGTTTGATGCCAGCAGGGAAGCTGCAAGCTTGCACACCGAACCCCAAACATGCTATGGGGATGGGATATGGGTGCGGCTTTGACTTTGCAACTTTTCATGTATAATATAACCCCTCTACAGAGACCACATTTCCTTGTTCAGTTGGGGTGTCTTGTCTTCACTTTGCATCACACCCCCTACATTACATCCACCACAAGTGTCAAAAGCCGTATTCAGTATTCCCTTGGATGGTCTGGTTGACGGGTCCTTGTTCCTTGGAATATTGTGTGTGTATGCGGCTGCTTTTTTCTTAGCAGTCGTGGTCATGGTTTGCTGTTTGTTCCCCATCTGTCAGGTAAGGGTCTTTGGGTTTTGACAAAGGTGTTACTCTGCCATCGTCCTCTCTCCTGTCCTCCTCCCATGTCGTCATGTCAGAGCGAGTGCCAGCACACCATAGAGAGCACCAGCTCAGTCTGGGCACGCACGGACCTGCACACCTGTCAGAGTAGGCACGGAAGGACCCTCATATCATAGAGACTTTTCCATGAATCCAGCTGTGCGCCCTATGCTGCTCGAATTTGAGCCAGGGCACCTCAAAGTAAGACCAACGCAAGACATGCCGAGAAATGCTTTGAAAGCCCGCCGCTTTCCCATAAATGCGTGGCTCCTTCATGAATGGTGGGCCAGCAGCGCTAGCAGAACATCTTCTCTAGAAGTGGGAAAGGAATGAAAGCTCATGCATGTTGAAATGTGCTATGTTGGCTGGCAAAAGGATCAGTTGTGGATCAAGGCTGGCGTAGACGCGTCTTGGGGAGGAACTAATGTTGGCGTTGAGCTCCTCTCGGGTATTGGCGCAGGAATCGGAAGCCACTTCAGATGCACCAACCTGGGAGAAACGCAGCAGAAGTAGTAGTACTAGTCCTGCTGCGTTGCTTCGTCTCTTGCCTGAAGTGTTGAAGAAGCCTTGGATTTGAGATCTTTTGGGGCTCGGTGACGCCTAGCTTCCGCAGCATGCCCGCCAATAGGCCATCAATGGTTCGCAATCTTGCCTTGCTGCTTGCGCCTTATACTGGAGCAAGTTGCCTGTGGGCCATTGTACCCCACAGTCGCTTCTCATCAGGAGCATGCACTGATATGGGACTCCGGATGTGAATCCGGGGGAGTGCCTGTGCAAAACAGGTGTGTCCATTGGGGGCCTCCCAATGCGACGCTTCGACGGCCGGATGTCCCGCAAACGATCCCCAAGTCCGAAGGCGTCGACGCGGAGGAAGGCGCGGAGGTCGATGCACACGGACCGAGGTCGACGCCTCCAAACGGACTCTGAGAAACGAAACCAACATCCAACAACTAAGAACAGTTGACGCTCCCGGACACCACCTGTCTGGGATTGGACCGATCAGGCCAGGGGTGAAGAGGGGGCAGAAGATGCTTTCCTCCCAGACAGGTGGTGTTGGGGAACTACATCGGTACAAGTTCTGTGGAGGCTGGCGATGGACATAGAAATGAAGGCCCAGACCGGCGCGGGCCGAGGCACATGGCAATGAGGTCATCGACCGAGAAGCGCTTCCCCGCATACTCGAGGAAGCCATGCCTTGGGAAGCGCTCCAAACGTGGGTAGAGCTAGGACGTGGGAGGTCAGGCAAATGGAAAGCATTGCAAAAACCTTTTTGGGTGCTTGGATGTGCTTGGGCACTTCAATGCTTTTTGGGGGGAGCACCACCACTAGTTTAGTTTAGACAAACATCTGAGCTAAAAGACTGAGCTTCCACTTAAGGGTTGCAGCTTGGCCACATGAGGACCAATCTGCTCAACACAAACCAAAGGAAAGCAGCGAAGGTGGCCAAGGATGTTCCAGCTTGGAGCCAAGGATTTCCGTGGTCTCTCCAAACTGAACCCTCAGATCCTTGGGAAGACCCCTTTTGCCGCATCCACGAGCGACACCGACGCTGCCGAGGAACTGATCCACCAGGAGCGACACCCGTTGCCGCAAGGGCAGCAATTCCTTAGGTATGTCGTGTTTATTTCATACCAAGATGAGGTTCCTCAGTATGAGAAACGATTTGGGATCTCCTCATTCCTTGGTATTCTGTCGTATGTTGAACGAGGAGATCCCAAATCCAGTGTCGTCTCGTGCTGTATCTCGTCGGCTTCTCGCTTCTCGGTCGTTCGGAATCCGTCCGAGACGTCGGTCGTTCGTGGTTCGTGGACTGGTCGTTCGTGAAAAGCGATTTGACCCCATCTATTCCCCACTGCAAACATGCATCCAGGAATGAGCATAGCAACCTGAAAACCCAAGCAACCAAAAACAGCTCTGGTTGGTCCAATATGGCG